TAGGTGCTGGATTTAATTATTTCTGATAGTAAAACTCAGCAACCAACATGAATCTGGCAGCTCATACTGACTGGTCTATCAAGCAAATAGGCCAGGAAGGCTCAGTCAAGGCAGAGCTCACAGGTAAAAAAAAAAAAATTAACAGAAAATTAAATGTTACATGTGTTATATCTCTGAAGAATATTGCAAGTGGAATGGTGCTGGAAATAGCTTGTTTTCCCCACTAAGCTTATTCGGAATAACCAGGATTTTTTTTTTTTTTTTTTGTCTAAGTTCTAAGATTTCCAGTAAAGTTAAAATATAACGTTCTGAATAGTGAGTACAGCTTGAGGGCATCATCCTTTCTGTATATCTACAGAAAGTTTTTGATTCACCTAACACATATTTGAAACACCTTTATATCTTTTCTTAACAAAAAATCTAGATTTACAAATATTTCATTTAAATTATTGAGTGGGTTAATTAAGGACTTCATATTATCAACAGCACGCAGGTAATGCTATTCAATGTACTACAATTATTAAATATTAACAATTACATGTAGTATGTTTTCTAGAGACTTGCTACAATAAATTGTTACAAACTAATGTAAATTTATTTTTAAAATCTTGATTATTCAGTGATTACTCATTGAATTAATGCAAATTGTTTTAATTATTTTCCTTTCTATTCTTGGTTTTTACCCTTCTTATTGGTGCTATTGGTTTCTTCTGTACTTCCTAAGCTGCATGTACTCAGTATTATTCAACTGCAATAACAGTATCCACCAACTCAAAAGAAAACTCACTTAGCCTAAGACTTTTTTGGATTATGATCAGCTATTTGTATTAGAGAGCTCACATTCACAGAAATGCCCTCAGTGAGCACCAGATATAACTTTGTATATCCTTCAATAGCTCATTATATTCTGTACTGTTTTCTAAGATATTTGTCATTGTCACAAAGTAAACTGACTTAATCCCAGAACTCTGTGTCCATTATTGAAAAATAAACAAAAAAAAAACACTGACAAAGTTGTCTTCCTTTCTTCAGAATTCATTGGTTTCCTTGGATGTCAGATAGAAGGCATTAAAATGCATTCAGAGCTTGATGATAGAACATTTTAATAATAAAGCCAATTTCCAGATGCTCAGTTTTCAATAGTAGAGTTCCCATCATTGTACTACATTCGTCCACATGCAGTGAAGTTTAAAGATGCTTGAATTTCAAGCAAGAAATCCAAGTAGACACATTCTGAAAATAGTTATTTAGACTTACAGATTCCACTGTTGAACTTTTTTTTTTTTTTTTTTTTTTTAAATCAAAACCGAAAAAATCGTGTTCAGGGCTGATCTCTCTTGAGACAGATGCTACTGAAGGTCCTAGCAGCCCTCAAAACAGAAAACTACTATGACATATTATATAATTGGACTTCATTTATATATTCCTTTCATCCTTGTTTTCCAGACTGTTTAATTAGTAGCTAAAGATCCACTGCCTCACAGATGAAAAAAGACAATCATTTATACAATAACTAAACATGGTGCTGTGTTTCTCTGGATGTTATTAAAAGTTGACCCCCTTGTAAATTGAATGGGGTGATAAAAGTGTATGGGCTAAATTATTTTCTGTTGTATAATTCCTATTAACTTCAGTGCTGATTTTACACCAACTCTGGATATGACCAAATGCGTTTAAAACAAAACCTTACAGTTCAACCATAAAAGCACATTCTCTCAAACAAATCAGCATTTCATTTTGAACAAATGCACAAAGCATTCTTTTATGTGGAACAAAAGAGAAACTTCAATTAACATGTTCAGAATTGCAGGCATCAACAAGTATAAGGAAGCTTAAAGCTGTTTAGTCTAGTTTTATCCCAAAAGGTATTCATTCCCCAGCAGCTTAGTTCTCACTGGTAACAAATTGTCCCACCTCAGGTTCAATAGAATGGCATCTTTTTAATTCATATGAGAAAAGAAATCACTTCTTCCTACTCCTAAGGTTTTTAAAAAGTATAATCTAATTATCCAGATTTACAGGGTAAGTTGGTCTATACGCTTCATTCAATGTGAAAGAAACAAGCAAAAATGAAAAGCACGCAACCTTAAAATAAAGAAATAAGAAGGGGAACATAAGCACGTATCAGCAGTCACGCACAGACTAAAATCAAAACTGATTTACTTTTCCTTTCTTCAGGGGATAGAATAAACAAATGATTCCTGTCCTGGATATTTTTCATGCAGTTGTTTGGAATCATTTGAACCTCTGAAGGTAGCTAAATATCTTTCAAAATCCAATTTATATCATTATTTTCAATGACAGTTGATATCTACCTCAAGCATTTGTATATTGAGGGGCACAATAATAGCGACAGAAAAGCTAACATGAAGACTAATCAATCTAAAAACTTCACTAATTCTTCCTAAGATCACCTCAACAACAGTATCTCCTGACAATAAGAGTTACTGAAACAACTACTACCGGAACATGCAGCAGCAAATCCACAATAAAATCCCAGTCCAAAAATCAAGCCCAGGAGAAGAGAGGGATTGTAATTCATATACACATGATCTGATGTTGGCTACCACTGCAAAATGTTCGGTACTTTCTCAGCAAAGTTTATGGATCTGTTTTAAGTGCTACACTAATACAGACAATTATTTTGGTTCACAAGCCATTTCATTTTGGCCTGTTATATATAGTACAAATATACTCTTTGTTCCCTAAAGTTTAATTTGCATTTCCAAGTAATTACGGAAGAGCATCGAAGATGAAGTTAGAATGGCATTTTTAAGCAGCATCTTTTTCCTTTAAACACAAAGGATGATTCTTTAAATATATATATATATATATTCAGGGGAAGGAGGCAGAGTAGACTGTGAAAATATTTGACCATTTTTGAAGTGTTGACAGGTTATTTATTTATTTTAGTGAAAAACAGTTAAGCTTTTCTGACAAATTCCACCTGTTAGACAGTGAAGATTTTTCACTTGCTAGCATTTTGACAAATTGCAGTTTCAAGTCTATTAATTAAAACATTAAATTGAAAAAAATAATATATCTTTCATGGGAATAACCACATTTCATTATATATGTAAAACCAGCATTTTATAAATATTAAATTGCAATGATATATCATGACATCTCAAAGTTTTTATTCATCTGAACAGTCGCTAATTCTTACTAGCATTTGCTTTGATCTGTTTTGATCCTAACAGGAAACAAAGCAATCACTGGCAGAAGTTCCCCCAGATTAATTCCAGTGGGGATGGAAGTCAAGGCAGTCAACTGATGTACCTGGTGACTAGACAAGAGGCAAGCTTATGCCCATTTTTATGAATGGGAGAAAGGACAACCCAGGAACTACCTTACCTCTGTGGCAGGGAAGATCATGGAACAGATCTTCCTAAGAGCTACGCTAAGACATAAAAAGAGGAGCAGTAATACAGGATAACCAGCATGGCTTCATCAAGAGCAAGTCTTGCCTGACCAAAGTAGGGGCCTTCTATGATGGCACAACTGCATCAATGGACAAGCAACGAGCCAGTGATATCATCAACTGGGACTTCATTAAGGCCTTTTCCATGGTCTCCCCCAACATCCTTCTCTCCAAATGGAAAAGATACAGATTGGATAGACCGTTTGATGATCAAGGAACTGGCAGCAAGATCATACTCAGAGAGTGGTGGACAATGGTTCAGTGTCTAGATAGAGATCAGTGACAGGTGACATCCCACAGGGGGTCAGCACTGGCACCAGTGCTCCTTAATATCTTCATCAACTATATTGTCAGTGTTCAAAAATGAGCTCTCAGCAAGTCTGCAGATGACATCAAGCTGTGTGGTGTGGTCACAACATGGGATATACAGTTTCTCAAAGTTTGTTGTGATAAGACAAGGGAAATGGTTTTAAGCTAATAGACTGGAGATTTTTAGATTGAATATAAGGGAAAAGGTTATTACAATAAGGATAGCGAAGCACTGGAACAAATTGCCCAGAAACGTACTGCAAGACCCATCCTTGTAGACAGTCAAAATCAAAGATGGACCAGGTACTGAACAACATGTTTGAGCTGTAGATGTCTCTGCCCTTTACAGGAAAGTTGGACAAAACAACAGTTAAAGATTCCTTCCGATTCAAACAATTCTATGATTTTATGATTTGCCATAGTGGCTATAATCTTGAGACTTAGGTCACAAAATCAGCTGAAGCAGGAGTAATTCATCCAAGGGAAGGATGGCTTAGTTTTCCAGTCATTTTCCCAAATGTTCCACACAGCCAAGGCTGAAGCAACATCTCCAGTTACCACTTCTGTTTATGCAAGCTTTCTTCACCAAAGCACAGACTGGTCTGGATTTACTATCAAAACATGTCCCAGAGTATGACAGAAGAGTTGCCTGAATGCTCATGATATGATGGAATATCATACGATATGATAGAAAAGTTGCTTGAATGCCAAATGTGTTATTGAAGATGAATTTTAAGAATCTGTAGGCCAACTTTTCTGTGTCAAGAAATGCTCAGAAACACTTCAGTTTGAACAACAGCACCTATCCCCTACCCTGCAAAGTACTAAGGGCCAAGAACTGCCTATTCTTCTACCTGTGCCACCTGCAGCTCTTGAGTCAGCCAGTACTCACAGCTGAAACAATGTTCTTTCTAGGCAAGGGTTAAAAAAAAGCATCTCACCTGCAATTAATGCATTTTCCTGATGTAGTACATGCAAACTTTTCCTCCCTTTTTCCATCTGCTTTATGAACCAATTCTTTATTATGATATATACATGCAGGAATAAGATGACAAATTGAATAGGACATTCCTGCTGTGCCAAGCAAGTGACTGTACTAGTAGGACAGCTGGTTACCTTCATTTTATTTCTGTGAAAATATTAGGAACAGTTCAAATATTCAAAGAATGGAAAAACGGTTCTTTTTCTTGGCTGAAAATTAATCTGCTTGTACGTTGCTGCAGTAACGTAGCTGAATGTACCACCTGGCCTGGTGTCTACAGCCCAGCACCGAGTTGTGAGGTGTAATAGTTCTGTACCTCTCTAGAAAAAAAAAATAGACAATAAATTCCAGAGTTATGCTATAGTATTTGATATTTAAGTAATTAAAGGTTAGTTACAAGTTGCCTGCCTTGGAAGACTTATCAGTGTCTTTCGTTGTTCAGTTATGTTATTATAAAACATACTTGAAAATTATTCTTACATAATACAAAGTAGTAAGAATATGAACACATACCATGCTACACATAAATACCCAGAGCACAACTGTTAGTATATGAAGGAAATAAGAATAAAAAGAGATGGTATATAGAAAAATAAAAATAAATGAGAATATGCACAAAAGTATTTCTCAATTTCAAATTTTTACCTTCGTTGTTTTATGGCTAAATCCCAGGGATATAACTGATATATTCAGCACCACTCAGAAAACTCATCTTTGTCTTCCCTAAAATGACAGTTGAGTATCAAATTAGTTTATTTTTATCATTTTTACTATTTTTAAATAATTGTTTAATCCTATGACAGTTCATTTTCTGATTCTAAATCTGAAAAAAAAAAAAATTCTAGTAGCTGTAGAAAACCAGGAAAACAAATATGAGGCAGTGAATTTCCTAATCTTCACATTAGTTGAAGAGAAATAAAACATTTTTTTATAGTAGCATTAATAACAGTTTCCTTTGAAGATAATAGCTGAAGGGGGAATCTCCCCTCCTTCCCTTCCCCTCACACCCCCTTCTTCTCTCCCATTTTCATCTGCTGAAAAAAAAACACATGCTTTTATGCTGATCCAAACTGAATCCCAGCTGCTTGGAAACTCGGAACAGTTCCAAATTTTGCTCAGCTTCCCTAATTAAACTCGTTCAACCTAGAGAAGCATCCCAATGGAAAACAGTTGTGGCTTTACTCAAGGGTAACATTCTTTTAACCTCTTTCAGAGCCAGTTATCTTGATCTACTGGACTCCACATTTTCAGCAAGGTCTTACTAGCACTGATGGATTACTCCAGCAAAGTCTCTTCTGGTTAAAAGGTTTTGAAAGACACCCAAGGGGAGAAATAGCATTAAAGCAGAGATTTATCTATTTATTGCCAGGCAGAGATTCTCTCAGAAAGTATATCAAAGGTAGTTCACACATTCTTACACATGACATAGGACAAATTTTTTTTCATGACACTTGAATCAAGACAAACACAAATTATCTAATATGATTTCTATTTTCCAATTATTAGGCGATTGTCACTTCAGGATGCTTGCAGAAGAATGAAAAAGTTGAAATGTATTTATGTTCCTTTAGGTACAATTATCCTAGGCAGAGCCTCTCTTCAGATTCTACTCAAGAAAAATCTTAAATATCTGTGGGAGAAACACTGCATTCTAACACAGAACAGTACTACTATAGAATGAAAAACAAAAATCAGAATAAACTCCCTGTAGCTGTTAAGCAAGACTTTAACTATTATACAATTTATGTTTCTTAGTCTTAATAAAAACAGTGATGACTTGACAATCTGAAATATAGTGCATGCACCTAAACAGAGAACTTCTGTAACTGTATCACTATCCAGACTTTGCAACAAAATATAACAATTACTAGATTTCATTTGATCAACAAAGCATTTCTCAGTAAGACTTCTGTTATGCAAATCAAACTCCATGTGAAATCAGAAAATGTTTCCACTCATTTCAGTAAGAGATGGAATGGATCCTTTATTATGACTTTATCCTGTTATAGGTCTGTGAGCTCATATTGCACTGAAATAATCCATAACGCAGCCAAAGAATAACTATAATTCACTTATTTTCTATAATTCTTAACGGTAATGCTCTTGAATGAAAACATAAACATGAAATACTTCTCCCCTCAGAGATAATAATAAGAATTCTCTCTTGAAACTGGGCTGGAAGAACTCCAGACAGAAATCAAAGATATAGGTCTCCCATAGCTTACAAAGATCGTTAAAAATAGCATGCTGCCTGTAGCCAGTGTCATACAACTAACTGCTCTCAGTTCAATGAGCAGGTCAGTGGATGACGCAGGGACAGTCTGGTTTCTATAACAATGCAGCTTATCAGCTCTCTCTGTCCCAGCTTCTACAGACAGGGCTGCTAAGCCTCGGAAAAAAAGCACATAAAATATTTCAAACCAACACTATTTTCATCCAGATGGAGACCTAAGTTTTCAAGCGTTCCATACACACATTTATTAAAACAAAAGAAAAAAGTTTTCTCCTTAAGAAGGGTGGTGATTTCAAAATGTAAAAAGCCTTCCGCTAAACAGCACATTCATTTTAACCCTTTCTTGATGTTTACATAATAAGCAACTAAAGAAAAAAAATATAAAACCAGGATCAGTTTCACAGATTGTCTTACTAGTCCTATTGATAATTTGAAGGAAGTTTTAGATACCTACTGCACAGTGTCCAAAGTATTATGGGAATTAGAAAGAATTAACAAATGCAGACTATAATAACTCCAAGCTGTCATGAATATCAATTCCTTATTCACTACAGGGGCTTGCAAATATCACAACAATCTCATCAAATTGACACAAAAACTCTCTTGAGACTATGTATGCATTTCATTGTCATGATGAAATGAAACAGCACTTGTGATGGTCTACAGAGACCTGCTCTTACCTTGTATGAAAACTGCACCAAAATACTGGAATAAACTTTTATGTCAACTATTTACTTTAGCATCAAAACTAGTTTAAAATATTAGAAAAGTGTGGAAACCCACAAAACCAAAAACAACTCCACAGCTATTTGCTATAATTAAGATATATTCTAAGCATTTTTAGCTCTTTCATTTGTCAAGATCAATTCCCATCTTATTAGTGATAGTAAATATTATTTGCTGTTCAGTATAAATAGAAAACTTTTGTCCGTAATAAACTAATAGTACTCATTTGTACACTGCTTTTTTGCTCAGTTTCTAAACATGAGTTTAGGCAAACAATTTCACATTATAATGCAATATTCTGATTTTCTTTTAATTCTTAAACCATTTGTCCATGCATGTTTATTTTACGAGATAATTTTGTTCAACACTGATAATTACCCAAGTTTCCTACGTAGTTCTGTTAGGGAGGCAGGCATGTTCTGATTCTCACATTTGCAATAGCATTTTCATAAACAAGTCCTTCAGTATTGCAGTCCCACCATCAGCAGAGAAGAAAAACAAATTCATCCATATTTGGGATTCCACATCTTTTCTCTTTCCTGCTGAAATATATCTCATAGGATATGTCATGTGAGTTAATAAAACAACAGGTTTTTCTACAGCAATCAGATTTCTAAGGGCTTTACTCCTTACCTGTTAATGTGCACACCTATCAGAATGACTGCTGCAGTTGACATGAATAGTCTCAGGAGAGACTGGATGATATTTCACATGAAGCAGCTCCAGGGATCTTGCAAGGAACTACAACAAAATAATTAGTTTTCTTCTGTTTTATGTTAGTCCTTACTATGACAAACTAATGAAATACTTGAAACAAATAAAGTACTATCTTATCAACTTCCATCTTACTTTTCAAAAAAAAGGAAGATTTTTCTGTTGTTAGAAACTTGTATATCAGATCCTATGCACAATAACTGTATTTTCCAATGGGTTGGCTTTTTGGAGGAAAAAAATAAAGAAATAAAATAAAAAGAATTTTAAAATAATTTTAAAATTAAACCTAAAGCAGATGTAGTTCTCAAATATAGTTGCTATAAAGTGACAAAGGAACTGCAGACAAAATATTCAATTGAAATTCAATCACGTACTGCAGGTTCTCTTGTCCCCATCAGTTTCTTCTATGAATTCACATCCACAAGTAGTAAAGCAGTTTACCTCTTAATAATAAGAATGAGCTGTAAAGGCACATGTTGCATTTCCTAACAGTTGTTAAATTCATTTAAAAAATGTAAATGCTAGCTCTGCAAAAAAAGGATACATGGAAATCAGGTCAGTTTTTGCAATGAAATCTATGACAGATATGTAAAGCAGCTGAAAGTTATTTCGGATGCTTTAAGGTTCCGGACTTTTTCCTTAGATATCTTTTTAAGAGAGATTTCCCAGGAACATTTCCCAAAAATGACAAAATAATTTGAAGTATGGTATCATAAGATGTTTCAAGACAATATCACATCACCATATGATGACACGATGGAAAAAAAACAAAAACAAATACCTTAAAGAAGGAAAGTTGACATTACTCAACAAAAACATCAAATTTTTCAAGCAGATTTCTTGGAAATAATATGTATATCAGTCCGTATGGAGAAAGCTTACCTATGTCAAGCTCTCTAGAAATCTAGAAGTAAAAATGCTGGTGGCACTTTGTTCAGGCCAGTGAACATCTCCTGAAATCTGATGCAGCAGAATTGCTCAGACCTGAGAAAAAAAAGATCTACATAAAAATGTGGAAAGTAAGGAAAATTTGACAGTAAGTCTCACTTAAAAAAATTATGATAAAATTAAATAAATAAATTCTTTATCCACTACCTTCAGTAAAAGCAAGTCAACAAGGCACCCACATCTCTTCAATAAAGTTGTCAGATGTAAGAAAGAAGTTATGGCCTTTCCAGAATCAGGTACTGCAGTTCCGGGAAGAATTAAGAGATATATTCTGCAGTTACTGAATTTTCTTTCATCTTGTATGTCTTCATCTGTGCTCAGAACAAAAGAATTAGTCAAAACAGCAAGCGTAAACGGTTTTTCCTATATTTGTCCACAGCAACATCACCTGAAAAGACCATGGGAAGTGTGAAACTGTAAACTGACAAGGAAGAAATAAACTTTAGAAAACTAGTATGAGATCATTAAACACTCATCATTTTCCAATTGCTGAACATTTTGAACACTGCCTGGACCATAGCTCTTAGAACAGCAGAACAAGTATGTCTATTAGGAAGTATTCTGGATTTCAATTGCCCTCAATTCACAAAGCAAGTTTTTAAACACAGACTATAGGTTAAGTACCTTTAGAACCCTAGGGAGTGGTTAACAGCTTGATCCCAGGGGTGGTGTGCAGGATCACAAATTCCTACTTTGTGTTTTTTGACTAAAACAATGATGTCCAAGTCCTTAATAAGCAAGAAACATTCTTCATGTTTTTGCTGCTGTTTTGGTTTTGTTTGTTGTATGTATGTATAAATGCAATTTCGCAATTCAGCCGCAATTTTTCACAGCCATAAAATAAATATCCTGAAGAGTGTACCAATGAGAAAGTAAGGTACTGGGAGTTACTTGAATCCAATTAAGAATTATAATTGCCAACCAAATTTAATAATATTTTTTATAATTGTTGTCTAGGTTTTAACCCCATAAACTACGGGGGTTAATTAGTGGACTGACAACTGGAGTAGGAGAAGACCTGTCAAACATCAGCATTTTATAGGAGCAATGATTTTAATGCCAGAAAGTTTTCTGGAAATTAGTGCCGGAGAGACACTTCTAATAAAATCAAAGCAAGTCCCAGTCCAATAAACTGTAATTTTTAGAGTTTAATGTACATTTTTTGCATATATTTTAGCAATTTATTCTGTTTCCCTGCATATAAAGTCTTCAGATATTAGCAGAAACAAAAATCTCAATGGCTCAATGCTCATGTGCCTTTCTACAAAGTAATTTAAAGGAACAGGACTTACAGCCCACTACACTGCAATTAATGTAATTTAATCTCCTTCTCTGGAGATATTCAAGACCTGTCTGGATGCTTTCCTTTGCAATCTACTATAGAGAACCAGCTTAAGCAGAGGGTTGGACTAGGTGATCCCTAGAGGTCCCTTCCAACTCTCACGATTCTGTGACTCTGCAAGAGAAAGACTTTTCTTAAAAGCTGTTCTTGTGTGTGTGCTTGTGTTTATATTTGGCTTGGGGATAAGACTCAGTGGTCACAAAGCATTAAAAATATGCACACTTTTCCAAGAAATAAATGTTTCCATCATGAAAGCATAAGTATTCACAGACTTTGTATTTGAAGCATTAGCATGTTTATGTACTTATTTTTAAAAAGATTGTTTTATTTAACATAACATTATGCCTGAAGTTTGAGTGGATTTTTCTCCTCCAGCATTTAGAACGCATATATATTATATATATATATAATATACATTATTATTGAATATATAATATTCAATAATAGACGAACTTATAAAGACATCTTTTTATTAAAATAGGTTAGAGTCACAAAACCCTCAGAGTTGGAAGGGACCTCTGAAGGCCATCTAGTCCAACTCCCCTGCAATGAACAGGGACATCCCCAGCTAGATCAGGTTGCCCACGGCCACATCCAAACTTACCTTGAAATAGCATATGAATAACATATGAAAACGTAATAACTAACTACAGTTTAATCAAGATAACAGACTGTTGCAGCAAGAATGTTTATTATGGATAGCTCTGACAACCTGCTAATGCTATATCACTTATTTTAATCAGAAGATCTGAAAAACAGCCAGAACATACACATATAGTTAAAATCATCTTCTTTCTCTCATAAAGCAGATATTTTGTTGTTATTTCCATTCTCATTTTCGTCAAAACAGAATAAGTGACTTATGCACATAATTCTCACTGAAAATCTCCAAGAACTTTTAATGCAGAAAGTTACCTGACGTTCAAGGAACAAATTGTTTTGTGAAATTCCTAACAATAGGATACAGTCTGATCCCTTTTGGAAGACCAGATGTTCAGTTCTTACTCTGAACAACATCAATATTCAGTGTTGTTAGTCTCACAATAAGTCTTACAGCAATTACACTGTAGCTCAACACTGTGAAACAGTGAGAGAAAGTCTAAGTTCATAAATCCAGAGGTAAGGTAATCCATTTAGCAGTGGAAGATTCCTTGTCTGGACTAACTATATTCAGTTAGAATAAAGAATTGTCATTTGATTCTTCTGCATCATAGTCTGCTAAGACTACCAGGAAAACAATCTACATTGAGTCTGTTTCCTTCCTCTGAATGATTTCAGCATGGGAATATTTCATGCTTTCAGAATCCAAAACATTTTTTGGAGTAGAAAAATGTAAGTGCTTGCAAATTTGATGTGCTTTCACTTCATCCTCATTATTTATTTTAACTTCATCAATAATGATCGGAGCTATAATACCAAAAATTGAGTTCTCAGCTACAAGCGCACATGAAAAAGCACAGTTTGTTTGCTAGCAAAACAGCAGCATTTTTAAAATCCATACTAGAAACAAGAAAGGGTGAAGGAAAATAATACTGCTTTCATAATAAAATGGATTTAAGTTAAACCCATAAGAAGCCTCATTTCTACTGACAATTTTTTGTACCATTTCAGAGATCAGGGCTGAATGCAAGTTTTTATGCAGGATTATTTGTAAAGCTGACAATGTCACAAAACTAGTCTACTCAGAACTGTTAGCATTAAAAATAAGCACTCCACAAACAAAACCAAATACATAAGTCAATCCTCTGGCAAAAAAGCGACTTCCAAAATGCAGTAAAAGTAAGAAAAAATAGAGCAACAAAAAAAAACAAAATAGAAGGAAATTGCTTATACGCAAAGAGAAACAACCACTGAAGCCCACACAGTTTCCAGCCACACTTTCATATACAGTTTTGCACACCATAAACACACAGTGGCTTGAGTCAGAAGGGACCTCAAGGATCATCAAGTTCCCGCCCCCCTTGCCACAGGCAGGCTTGCTAGCCACTAGATCAAGTACTAGATGAGATTGCCCAGGTCCCATCCAACTTCCAGAGATGGGACACCCACAACCTCTCTGCTCAGCCTCTTGCAGCACCTCACCACTCTCTCAGTAAAAAACATCCCGCTAACATCTAATCTAGATCTCCCTTCTTTTAGTTTAAAACCATCCCTCTTTGTCCTATCACTATCTACTCATGTGAAAAGTCAACTTCCCTCATGTTTATAAACTCCTCTTAAATATTGGAAGGCCACAATGAGGTCTCCCTGCAGCCTTCTCCAGGCTGAACAATTCCAGTTCCTTCAGCCTATATTCATTCACGGGACAGGTGCTCCAGCTGGATCATCTTCACAGATGATCCAGCTAGATCATCTTCACAGCCCTCCTCTGGACTCTCTCCACACGTATATTCTTCAGACTACTGAAGACTACACATTATATTGCAAAATTAATTCATAGAATTATGAAGGTAAGAAAAGACTTCTAAGATCTAGAGCAACCATCAACCCATTACCTCCATGCCCACTACACCATGACCCTCAGTGCCACATCTTCATATTCTATTAACATCAAAGGAAAAAAAATATCTGATGTTTCCATGAACAGACAATACTTCAAGAAGAGTTCCATTGTTTTCACTAGCAAGTATCTTCAAGTCAGACAACACCAAATCATCAACTGCCACGCTAAATCAGCAAGTATAAAGTCGATGAATATAAAGATGTTATAATTATGAAATAAACAAGAGATTTTGGCAAAGCAGTTCATAATAACAAAAAGAGAATAGATAGAGTGCTTACAAGCATCCTGGGCTTGGTGCAAAACTCCAGAGGAGAGATCTCCAGAAGAGATCCTTTCCCATTGGTAGTCAGCTCTTAAATGGGTCTAGGAGCCAGGCCTTCCAGCAGCACAGGTGAATTGCTCCCTTCAGGTAATCAATCAGAGGTTCAGGCCATGATTCAGCAGTTCCCATAATTAGTTTTTAGATTATTATTATACTGCAGTTCTTCAGTTATTAGAACAATGATAGAATATATGCCAGCTGAAAAACATTTTGCCAATTAAGTGTGTGGTTTTGTCTCTAAGCTAGCTGTATTGACAACAAAAAAAGAGTAATAGCTTTTGTAAGGAGCAAGAAACGGGGCTGTTTCATAGCTAATGGTAATTGGAACTTTGTAGAAATGAAGTGGTATTTTCTAATGTGATCCTATTTTTAATTTACAGTATAGAACAAAGATACGCAGTATGCTTTGGCTATTGATATTCTTTTTCCTTCAGAGGATGTGGGTCAAATACAGCATTTTTGGAAAATCAAGTTATTTTGGTGTACTACTCAAAGTATTGAGTTTAGAAAATGAACTTGAGACACTTAATATTGAAAATGACAATTTATCGACCGTAGTGCAAACGTACCGAGAGAGTAATTTAATAGCCTTCTGGCCATTAAACATGCAGGAGGTCAAATTGCATGAATGGCTGCTCAGACCTTTAAGTAAACAAAATACATGAAACTCCCTGAAATGTTAAGAACTTGCCTGATATGTATTTTCTTCTGAACTTACAAGACCCCAGAGGTATCAAGATGTATCTTCTTTCCTGGAATGAGTCTATATGTCACTGGAAGAACTCAAATGAACTTTGGCAACTCTGCAACTTTAGGCTGACCATTTTAAGATAAGAGTCAAGGGAGTCCACTACCTGTTATCTGCAATAAATTGTGAATAGATTTATGGCATTGGCCTTATGAGAAATAATGGCACACTGGCAAATCAGTGACATGATTTTGCAAGGTGCTAAGGCTGTTGGTCTGAGACCAAAAAAGCATTCCATTAGCTACAGAGCTTAAAGCTGAAGGTATTTTGTTAGGCAAGCAGTTACTTAAAAGCTAGATTTTCCTTAAGAGTTCTTGATTTGACTCAAAGGTATTCACCTCCCATTGAACATCA